ATCAGTAGTGCTTTATTCGCTTCACCATCTTAGTCTTTTAAGCCAGATTGTTGCAAATATAAAATGCAAAGCTATTTAAAAGTTATTGCATGATGCTTCAGATGATTTCTAAAGTTTAAAGTAGCAGGCCATTTGCACATAAACCAACTGTGCATCTCATATCTATTACAAACGGTGTGATACAGCCACAGCAGAGGTACTTGTGCTCCTGCACGCGTCGCTGCTTCTGGAAATTCCACCCATGTGCTTGCCTCTCCTCAGCAGCTTTGAGAGTCCCACCTGTGGTTCTCTTTTCAGAGCAGCCAAGTTTCAGTACTTGTGTCACCCCCACAGCTGCTGCTTCTCCTCCAAGCTGTACATGGAGAAGTGCAAATGTGCTTTCCTGGCATTTTCAGGAACAGTGTGTCAAGGTCACCAAGAAGAGGGGGGAAAGTGTCTGCAGTCTGACATCTGAAATCTGCAGTTTTTGGAAAAGGATACTGAAGGCAAAAATGAGGGACAAAAAGGATTTTTGTTTTTTTTCCCCCCTCCAGACGTGCCAATGCTGGTTGTATTATATAAATATTTCTGGAGAAAAGACAATGAAAAGTAAAGATTTCTCAGCAAAAAGCATACAGTGACTAAGCCATTGTGTTGGCTGGCAAATAAACAAATACAAACTGGAGGCGAAGCACTGTACATTGGGTCTGGCAACATGTACATGTTTTAAATGTTTGGGGTATGGCAAGCCAGGTGATGATTTCTTCATCTCTTGCATGTTTTCAGATAGAGGCTGAAAAATAATTCCAGAGGATTTACTCTTACAAATAAATACCAATCTTTTGGCTTAATACAGGAATAATTGAATAAAACGTAATGTCCCACAATGTATTTGGTTTAGGATGATTGAAGGAACAGTGCAGCAATTCTGAGGAATACAAAGATATTTTTTGAGAGAAGAAAAGGAATAATTTCTTCTGTGAGGTTCATGGTGGAAAGCACAAGAATTGATGGGCTTCAGTGCAGTGAAAACATAGAGAAAAATGTTCCACTTGTCAGGACAGTGAAATATTGGGGAGAAAAAAAAGCCTATGGAAGTTGCAATAAAAATTTAAATGTGGTTAACTTTTTCCTTGAAAAAGAGGGATGAACTGGATTACCTTTAAAGCTTCTCCCAGACTTTTTTCAGGGAACATTTAGTGGGTACCATAGCTGTCAAATTTATCACAAACTCCTTAAATCTTACTCAGGTTATCATTTGCCCCTGCTCAGCTGAAGTCTCCGAACTTCTTGTAGTACATCAGTCTAATGCCCTTACATCCCAACAAATTATATTTGACGTGTAATTTCAAGGGGAAAAGTTACAATCCACCATCTTCTTTTTAGGTCCTCCAGGGAAAAGAGGTAAGCGGGGAAGAAGAGGAGAGACCGGTAAGTTTTCAATTTCATAAGATCTGTTGTCATTTGATGTCTGTTTTTGTGAGAATGCGTACCCAGCATGCCATGATTTTTAGCTGTATTGCATGTGTCTTCTGAAAAAGAAATCTGAAACTTCTTTGGTAAAATGTTGTGACCCTTGGCATGTATGTGGTGGCCTTCCAGATATTTCTCTAGTCTTGGGCATCCATAATTTGAAGGCACACTTCATAACGCTCGACGTCGTGCCTTTGGTAACACATCTGTAACTGTCAAACCCGTCAGTGGTGCACAAGTTAGAACAGCTACATGGAAGTCAGTAGTTGGAATACTATGTCAGTGTTAAATCAGGTCCCTTTGGCTGGAGGAGAAAAATTTTATAAGGAAATAAGGAAATAAAATTCCTTATATCAAGAATGTTGTTAATCAGGGACATAATGTGATAAGTAGACTACTCTGCATGAGAGAAGTTGTTTCATAAAAATGAGCAGTTAAGTCCTAACAGAAATAAGAAAAACATTTGTTGGTTCGTTACCCTGTACTAAGGAGGTTGCTGTTGATAGAAACCTGCTGGTGGTGTGCAGCTTGCAATTTCATTTGAGGCAAAGTTGTGAGATGCTGAGCACCTCTTGCTGTTGACATTCACAGGAATTGAATCAATTACCTTACAGGATTGAGTTTTTCATCAAGGTGAACGTTCTGGAGGCAATGCAGTAGAAAATGAGCATTTCTATTCTCCTTGGCTGTCATGTCTAATCTGCCAGCTAAGAAAGTCTTCCAATCAACTCGATCTCTGTAAATCTCCTGTAGCCTTTCTTATCTATGTAAATGATAATTTATCTGTCTCTAAAAAACTATTTCCATATCTTCCTGAATCACAAAACTAAAACCAAGCCTTGCCAAAAGTTGATACAAGTCACCTTTGTGCTTCCATTCGGTGTTGTCTTGGTATTTACTTCAGAGAAAGAGGCTATGATACAGAGGGAAATTCTGTGGTTGAAGATTGAGTTACAAATGATCCTGGAAATTACTTTGTGGGATGCTCATTGATTCATTTTACATGTCAAATAAACACGTGGTAAACTATTAAAAAAGGAAGGATCTCTCATTTAAAAACAGACCTTTACTTTAAAATGCTGTTTAAGAATGTTTGCCAGAATAAAGAAATTACCTTAGTTGCTGGACAATAAAAGTTGCATTGTTAAAACCAAAAGGCTGTCGATATTAAAAGCAATCTCAAAGTACAGCTGCTGTTGTTTTATACTCCTTTTGCACTTCACTTTATTCAGAAATTAGAGAGAGGCATGAAAGCTTAATGAAATGCCATTGATTTGGGAGCTGCAGCTGCTCAACTTAATAAGATTGAAATAGTAGATTTGATTTGTGGCCCTTTGATAATGTTTCCAAGAACTGCTACACAAAAGTCTTTGAGGTCTAAATAATTGAAAAAATGTGCAAATATCAATTCACAAAGTGTGACATTTTAATGGGGAGCATTCTATATGTGTGCCTTGAGAGAGGAAGGTGATGAAAAGAAAGTTGAGCACTGTCAGGTGGCTGCTGAAACCTCCCCTCACAGGCAAAGTTGGAAGTCTGGAAGATGTTGGTATACATATTCCTGACAAGATGCCCAGGTTAAATGCCAAGGGTACTTTTTGCAATTCTGTGGCCGAGCCCTGATCAAATGCTCACTTGTGTGGTTAACTGAAACTGGTGATGTGGTTACATATGCTTTATGTGGAGCCTGAAAAAACGAATTGTAGTCCATGGCTGGTATTTTTGGACTGGCATGAAATTGCATGGAAATGAATGGAGAAGCAATTTTCATAAGATTGCATGACTGTAATTGAAGATTTGTTAAGGTAAGTGCATGCATTTAGGCAGTAGTCATATTTACAAGTTTCAGAGCACTGCCAAAGCTCAAGATTAATTAAGGGGGAAAATATGTGCCCTGTATTACCAGTGCTGCTCACTGACAATTCCAAGACCCTTTGCTTGACTGTGTGTATCTTTCTTCATTAACTTCATAAGCTTACGTGTTCTTTTTTTCTTTTTTTTTACCCTTTTTTCCCCTCTCCCCCACCCCACAGGACCTCCTGTAAGTACAAAGATACATTGGTGGTTCTTCCAGAATCAGGGAGAAATCTGTTAGATCCTGTTATCAGCGTGATAAAATGTTCATGTATACCCAAGAGGGGATTTTGATATTTATATATACACAGTATCTTGGAGCTGAATAATTTAATCAGAAAGTTTGTTAAGAAAAAATCTGTAAACCAATAAAGCTTTATGTTCAGCACTCCAGATAGCCATTTGGATTCACAACTCCATGTAAGTATGTTATGTTCATTTTGCCTGTGACTTCATAACAGATATTTTTTACTGAAGTATAAAAAGCTGTGAGTATCCTATCTTAAGACCAGACATGGCCACTTTTGCTGGTAGTAACTTCCTCTGCCTTTATCACAAAGTAGTGGGGTACAAGTTCCCTGTTCTTTGGAGGCATACAGGCTGTGCAGCTCATTTCACTGTAATTGCCACTGAAGTGAGTAAATGCTTGTGTAAAATTATTATTAAATAGTACTATTCAGTTTAGTAAGTGTAGCGGGTTTAGTGCTGACCAAATTCCCAGTAAGTCGATTGAATCTTTTGCTAATTCTTTTTGTGAGAAAACATTTTCTCTATTCTGAGGTTTTGAGGTTGTTCTGTTTTTTGCTTGGGTTTTTTATGTGTATTTTGTTTGCTTTTTTGCATATTCCCAGAGGAGGTCAACAGTCTGACTTGAAGGACAGGACTAAGCACATATGTCTCAAACCTTTGTTTGTGTCTATCATGCCATCCATGTGCATCATACGATGTAGGAGTGTGACTACTAAAACAGTATTTCTTTTACAGCTTGAAGACTTTTATTTTTTTTCTTTAAAAGATTCAATAATTCTACAATATTTTCAAGACCCTATCATCTGTCTATTCTATGCTCCATGCATGTTTAAGATTGTGTAATTAATATGTTGAATTCCTGCTGTGACCTAAAGATTTTACTGTAAACTGTATATATTGTTATGATATTACTTATCCTTGTAAGACTTTGGCCATGTGCTCAGCAATTCATGGTGGCAAATTCATTTAATAAGCCACCAATGAAAAGCCAGGCTTAATGCATAAAGGTGCTGTTTATTTGAAAGAAACAGTTTCCCCAATTTCTTTTGCAGTCCTCCTATGAAACACAAAGAGCAAACATAAATCATGATACAAGCTATTTTCCTGTACCAAGGCAACATGGCAGTAGTTCACTATATGCCTCATTAAGACTGTTCCTGACTTTAGACCCCTACTGTTGCAGTATAGGTACATTAAAAAAGCCCAAACAATCAATCAAATAGACAACCTCCCAGAAAATAAGTCGTAATCTTGGCAATATTAGCACAAACCTGAATTAAGTTCCAAAGCTGAATAATTTTAAGAAGTATCTGACTTTATATTCCAAGTTTCATACTTGAAACCTATAAGACTTCATCTTGCTGACAGGCAGCAATGGTTTAGGTTGTTACAAGGCATAAAAAAGAGTAGTTTCTCTTCCTAATTCATTTCTGTATTTACATAGACACTGGCTACTGGCAGCTGTTCTGAACTTAAATATTGTTTTCACCTGGGAGACTGTGGTAATAGTCTTCATTAAAAATATCAAATATTTGTATATCCCACATGAAACTGGATGGAATTAGCTGTATGTTGTAATTTCAGAGGCTGTCACAGTGCTCCATTTATTTTCCTAGTGCATGACTACTGAGTGGCACATGTAATAGCAGTCAGAGGGTGGGGGTTTTGAATTTTTTTAATTATCTTTTACAGAAATCTCAGATTTCTTCTTTGCCACCTATGTTCTAGTGGAATCTAATACTTTACTGCCTAAGCACTAACCCTTTTTTAAAAAATTAACTACATATTGCCCATCAGTTTACACGGATAATTCTCTTCATAAAAATCAGAATTTCACTGGGCATCAGAAGTAGCCAGTAGCTTTTTAATCAGAGGGTTCATATAAGTTGAAACATAATTTCCACTGCCAAAGCCTTGTTTCTTCGCTGTGTAGTACTTATCTCATATTTCTTGGTTTGAAATATCATCACATGCAAAAAAATCAAGCAATACACAAATTTCCTGGTAATGTACTCTGCACGTTTGTTATGTCATATGTCATGACTGTGTTGTTAATGTGTCGTACCATTTCATCTCATTCAACCAGGGTCTACCAGGGCGAAATGGCTATCCGGTAACTCATCATATGTTTATGATAGCAATTTATGATTACTTTAAAATCCTGTTGGTTTAGTTTCTCTTTTCTACTATCCAAAGGACTTTTTTTTTTTTGGTTTCTCAGATGCCTAGAAAATGTAGGATTTTCCTTTAAAAACAGAGCAAAATGAAAAACTGTGACAAGGTTCTGAGAAGAACTAGACTATTTACAATGCATAAATGAGATGCACTGATTGTTTGATGTTGTACATAATTTGTGTTTCCTTCATTCTTGCATTAAAAAATCATAATTAATTAATTTTAAAACTTACTAAGATACTGCATCTCGATTTTCCATATTAGAAAGCTGTAGTGTTGCCATACGGAACCTCTGAATCCTTTCTTTTAATTCTCTCCTGTTTCACTTGGTTTGGTTGTTCAATGCATTTTGAGCAAATTAAAGTGTTATGACAGAGGTCCTAGCAGTTGACTGCAGTGACTACCACAGAGTAATTTTTGATAATGGTTACAATTCATTTTTCTGTCATTTTCATTCATATCTTTAGGATTTATTGCCTGAAAAAATAATATATGAAATAATGCATCTTTCTAAAATTTATTAATAATGCATTTCTTTCTAGTAGTCAGACAAACTGTCTTCAGTGTCCCATTCATTGAAAGAAGTATTTGCCTGCTGTCACATGGGTATTAGAAACCAAGTGACTTAATGTGATAATATACATGCACAACATAGTGACTACTGAAGTATAGTAATGATCTAATTTAAAGCACTTGATAGTGCAGCTTAAAGGGCCCTCCCAGATTGATTTGCCTATATTTTTCAGACAAACAATATTTAATTTTTCAGTGAGTTTTAAAAATGTTTCTGTTAGTAAAATATAGATTGTATACCTTGAGCCCCTACAATTAGAGGGGAATTTTGTAGAATCACAGACTCTTTAGTTCCAATCCCTCTGTCATGGGCAGGGACACCTTCCATTGGACCAGGTTGCTCAAAGCCCCATCCAGCCTGACCTTGAACACTTCCAGCGATTGAGAACACTTCTAGGTATGAATCATCCATAGCTTCTCTGGACAGTCTGTTCCAGTATTTCACCACTATCATAATTAAAAAATTCTTTCTTACATTCAATATAAACTTTCTTTTAGTTCAAAGTCATTACCCCTTGTCCTGCCACTACAGGCCTTAGTAAAAAAAAAGTGTATTTTTCCACACCTTTTTTACAGGGCCCCTTTCAGTGTTGAAAGGCTGCAGTAAACTCTTCCTGGAGCCTCTGCTGAACAACACCAACTTTCTCAGTCTGTCTATATAGAAGAGCTGCTCCATCCCTCTCATCATCTCTCTGGTCCTCTGGAGTTGCTCCATCAGGTCCATGTGCTTTCTTACACAGTAGGTCCCAGAGGTGACACAGTACGCCAGATGAGGTCTCACAGGAGTGGAGCAGAGAGGGAGAATCACCTCCCTAGACCTGCTGGCAGCACTTCATTTGATACAGCCTATTTAAATGCTTTTATCTGGGCAGATTCTGTAATTGCCCAGTGGTGTCACCAATGGATCATCATCCAGTGTCCATCTTTGCAATTACAAGTATTTGGAAGTCAGCTGGTGAGGAACTGATCATCAGTATCAAGAAACCTGTTTGGATGCACTAAAGCGTTTATCAGGTTTCCAAGTGCAACATTCCAGTTTCTCTTAGAGTGATTAATCTGTGTGTAGGTGAGTACAAGTTTGTTTTGTTGTGGGATCTGAAAACAATGAAGGTATTTCAGAGCCATGGTATTGAAATTGCTAGGTCTAATGGTAGTGTTATGGGCAAACTTAGTCTGAATGAATTTCTCCTCGTATGTGATGTGAGCTGTCAATAGTGCTTAGCAGTTAATTGACTGCTGCTTCTTCCTGCTTGAAAATGACTGGCAGTAAAATTTGACTTTGCTTCCTGAAAGTTGTCACGTGGCTGAATGTTTCAGTCTTTTCAGTTACAGTCATTTCCTCCTGCTTTGAATGGGAAATATGTAACTGCAAGTGCCATGTACTTTAAAAGTACTCTTTCAGCCCTGTGGAGGCTATGAGGAGGCTATGAGAAGGCTATTAGTATTCTTTCTCCAGAGTCTTATTTAACTCCTGTAGAAGCCTTTTGCTTAAATCTGTATTGGATTTTATGGGATATTCTGTGAGGATAGTGAGGTGTATCTGCCACATATAACCTAAACCTGGTGTAGCTGTCTTGCAAAAGCAAGTGACTGTTTTCTCCAAGGCTTAAGTTTTCTTTGCTTGTGTTAATTCTAGTTTTTTAAGAATTTAAATAAATATTTAAAGAATTTAATAAATATACTTTAAGAATAATTATAATAGTGAAAGGAATTACAGTGAGAAATCTGAATTCCCAGGAAGATATAGCATCAAAAATCAATACAATAAGTGAAGTTTACTGCTAATGAGTAACACAGTTATTAAGGGGTTTACAAAACTGTGATTAACTCATTATTATTTAAGGCACTAGGAGTACTAAAGAAGTGTACACTTATTTTTTTTTCTTCATAACAAACTTTGTATAACAGACAGTGACCAAATGCAGAGTTGTGACTCTTTCAGCTTGAATTTAAAATTTAAGTAGGCTATCACATCTTCTCAAAAAAAAAGAGGGAAAAGAGTGCACAAACATTGGAGAATGAGATGACAGACAGTTCTTGCAGGCATTTTGTATGACAATGTCACTTTGGAAATAGTGCTAGAATTGGAAAAAAAGTATACACACCCACACCCACCCACACACACCCTAAAGAAAACCCACACCAAACCCTCTACCCCAAAATTACCCAGCCGCTACAAAAAATATTATC